TTCGAGTTTGGCAGTTTGACCTCAAGTTTTTAGATGCGTGATACGAAAACTTCAGAGATTCATATGACTTCAACTTCGGGCCTCATGCACGAAGTTTTCCTCTCCGTAAAAAACTTCAAAATCTGACAACATTGTTCTTATTTGACGAGTGGGAACGATCCCTCGTGAGTCGGTCTGAACTTTTGCAGCTCAATAATTTATTCCAAAATGTGCTCATCAGATATGAGCGGGAATGCGATCTGTCTCGCATCTTTGAGCATTTTCCCAGGTTAACTTACAAATCCAAGTAATTTAAAAGCTCAGTTACTATCTTATGATACTGCTTTGCTGAATAAAGCGTGTCATATATTTCATCTTTGAAAACGTATTTCAATCATCAGGTCATCAAATTGATAAGATCAGGTCATTATCGCTCCCTAGACAGCTCGTTTTTCAAAATTGTCCTGATAATGTCCCCTAAACACTCTTTTTGCAGCTTAGGAAGCCTTTCCGAGCCCCCTTTCGAAGCAGAATAAGCCCCCAAAACCCCCTCCGATGGGGCGCCTTTCTATGCCCCCCCCCCCTCAAACTCCTCTATGAGATGTCCCTCTGAGCATTTTTCACGAGAAATTCCCAGTTTCGCCAATGAATAACTTCATTCTACGCTTTCTAAAAACTATGTTTTTTTTCGTTTAACGTAGTCCGTTCATCCTTTCCGTCACAATTCGTCGTCTCTCCCACGGAAGAACGTAACTCCATTTCAATGTTGCCAAACTCCCCCACCTAAATTACACTTTTACCAGGAGAGTTTTACGAATTCCTAATCGAAAATTTCACTGATCATTCCTCTGACCGCATGCAAAAATCAGAACAGTTGTCAACAAAAACTGTGCAGGTGCAATGTGCATTCTTGTAAGAAAAATTGAATTTTTGTATACAATTTTGCAACCTTGGTACGTTCCTTCGTTTAAGAAACGACGAATTTATGTCTAAAGCACAAGAGGAGACACGTAATAGCGGACGAGAGAGCAGAATAAACACTGAAAAAAAACTCCAGGCGTGGAAGCCGCGTATTTACGGGCCATGTAGACACACAGTTCGCGTTCCGGGCTTAGAGGCCGAAAGTTCCGGGTGTAGCACCCGGAGTAATGGAAGCTACGGCTCCAGCACCCGGAGCAATGGAAGCTACGGCTCCAGCATCCAGAGCAATCGAAGTTACGGCTCCAGCACCCGGAAGTTCCGGTATCCGAGCCCGAAACGGACGGTACGTCTATACAGCCGTAACTTTTGTTTTTCAGTGAAAGAAAGAAGAAGACAAAGTCGGCCGGCAGCGCCTGCGCCTCATACTGACGTAACGCGAAAAGCTTTAGTCCCATTACACATTAACTAGTGTAATGCCGACCGACATTATAATTATTCCGGTTTTCATATTTTCACGCTTTCATGAGCCCCGCGCATAGTTCATTCATCGATTTGATACTGATTTATCCGGGGCCCCGCCCTCACGCACTCGCGCGCCGGCTTCAATAGGCCACGAGGTTGCCTAGGTGTTCAATAAAAAACATAAGTTGTATGGAGAAATTTAATTTTTCAACTCAACCCGGCAACCTAGAAGGCTGCCTTGCCTGATTTTGGCATTGGCTGCGGAGTTTTCTCTACTTAGCGTGTTGGAAATGGGAAAAAAGTCGTGAATTTGGCAACGTGGCCGGGGTACTAATGCGTGCGACTCGTACGCGTGTCGGCTGATGTATTGTCCGATTAATTAAGTTATAACGTCATTTAATGTGTACACTTATACGGTGGCGCTTGGCGAGGCATTGAATGGGGACTGAATATTGTTCTGCTATTTGGACGTATTTATGTGCTAAAAGGGACTATGTTGCACGCAAATCCTATGCACATAGTTCTTTTTAGCCTAAATACGTCAATAATATACTGATTTAGTAGCTACATCATTCGTTATAATATCGAGCCTTTGGTTCAAATGTAAACAAACACAGAACAGTTTCTGACTCGCGCCATTTCGCACTCATTCGCGCCCTTTGCACCATGGTGGTAAAATGTGTCTAAGTGCTTTTACAACCAAAAGTTCTCATATTTAATGAGTCTTTAATTGATTTATGACCGGTCAATGACTAAATTTTAATGAATTAACAAAATTAACTCATCAAGAATTCGCACATGAGGTTATGTTAGTATTTGTTTTGGTTTAAACCAAGAGTTCGATATTATATCGAATGACATATCCACCAAATCAGTCTATTTGCACGACAAGTCTGTGGCCTGCGGGTGAGTTTATCTTGTAAGGTCTGATGGAAAAGGCTGAGAGCCTCATCGAATGCGTTCCCTGAATTCGGCTACCGTGCAGATGTATTGACATATTTCGAATGTAAATGAAAGAGGGCTGGCAACCTTGTTAAATTAATCTGCATTGAGACCAAAAGAATAAGAAAAAATTAAAGATCCCCGATCTAGGGAGCAAACATAACAACAGCGACATTTTTCTGACTCGTCCACAGAAGCACCTATCAGGTCTACACCCAGCGCGGATGCATGTCTACGGAGACTTAAACGCAAACATAAGAAAAACAACCATTAAACAGTATTCCGGGTAGTGATGTCAAATTTAACTATATTATGCATGATGGAACTAATGTATCTAAATAATCCACAAAAGCATATCTATCTGGCTCATACGTTGTCTCTGAAATGAGTCAGAAATAGAAGTTCTTCATAGCAAAGTATAGTTCACCTGATAAATTTTACGTGCACATGTTAAAATCTTTCGTAAAAGTTACTTTCCAAACGTCTTGTTGGAAAAATACTTTTCTACATAAAATAAAATGTTGAAGAGAAAATACCGACATTGAAACTCTATCGCCTTTCTGACGTTATAAAATCTCCACCCCTGCTTTTTTTAATGGGAATAAATCAACATCATTCCTGGACGTTTCCTTAGAATTTGCGAAGATCACAAAAGTATTCAAGATTGACGTTTGGGTAAAAAATAAAATATGAGACATTGCAGACCTCTATCAGCAAACCTTGCAAACCAAACACACGACACGTGGTTAAAGCGTTTCACCATCGATATGTTGTCACCAAAGCCAAAGTATCACAAGCGCCATGTGACGTTTCAAAATTGCCTCCGCCATTTTATTTTTCCAAAGAAATTTTTGGTTAAATCTGTTTGAAAATTTCACAAAATTTCATCGGCAGCACAAAGAAAATACAGTGAAATTTTCAGACAGCTTTGTCGAAAAATTTCTCTGTAAAAAAATAAAATGGCGGCGGAAATACTGAAACGCCGCATGACGCTTGTGATACTTTGGCCGGAAGTTTACGATATAACGTGGTGTGCGATTCATACTTTGCCATAAATTTAGGTTCATTTTGGACTTTAATGATCAAATTGACAACATTGATTACGTAAGGCGGAGTGGTTGGGTACGGTACCACGATGACGGGGACGAAATTCGGTTGCGGGTGACGTCACAATCCCGTCGGCAGACGAAGACGTTCAACGCAGGCGTTCGGGGCTGCAGACAGTCTGACAGACAAGAGCCAGAACCTTCAGAAGGCCGTCACACAACGGAACACGTCATTGGAAGAGGTCGGACAAAATTTAGAAACTTTAAAAGCTCATAACTCCGCTCATACAAAACTTTGAGGTTTTAAAAGTGGTTCTATTGGTTCCCTCGTGAACATTTCATTCGGGTGCATTCCTTGAAATGTAAAATGTGACGAATTAAACATCAAAATTTGCAGTTTTAGTTAAAAATTTTATGTCCGACCTCTCTGATTGACTCGATCCACTGTGCGTCTGCTCGCCCGACTTGTTCCTCCAAATTCCGTGCCTCGCTGAGTCCCCAAGTTGCCGGCTTTTGCAAGGGTCTCCCAATAATTTCGTTGAACGTTCGACGAAATTAAAATTTCGCGGGTACATATGGCAACCTTGTCGCGGACCAACGCGGTTGAATGAAAGTGTACTTATAACGAAGCGCACTATTCACTGTTTCCCCTTTGATGTAGTAAATCTTCAAGAATGTTTCAAAACCAGTGAAAGCCATCGAAAATATGCTCAGAGTTTTACATCTATTTTCAAGACCAGGAATACGGTTTTCAGACACGAGGTTTTAAATTTATGTGCTTCGTTCTTCAATGTTTGTACTCTTCCTGGTGTTTGTGACGCAAAAATATTCAAGTTCAACTTGAAAGAAAAAAAAAACATTTTTGACACTTCCAAGTTGTCAGCAATTACAAATAAATGGGACAGTCTGAACTTCTTATTTCGTCGTTTTCGTAACAAAAGAACGCAATTCCGTTCCAAGGTTGCAATACTGGTTCAAATAAACCTATTTTTTTACAAGAATATGATTTTGCGATTTCTGTCCGAAATTTTACTGAAAATCGCTTATCATCCGCAGGAAAAAAAAAACAACTCAGCGCTGAGTCCTAACACTTTAGGTTAAACAGCGCCAACTAAAGACAGTAGGGCGGGACCCTAAAGCTGTAGGGCTCAGCTACACTGCCTTTAGTTGGAGCTATTTTACCGAAAGTGTTGGAGCTCAGCGCTAAGTTGTTTTTTCCGTGTAAAAAAGGAACACTTGTGAAATTATCAATTAAGAGCGCCTAATAGTTTTCCAATAACAATACGATTTGCGAGTAGCAAATATGCAGAGTGGACATGTCGTGATGTCCTCTCGGCTGGAAAATGACGAGTTCAGGCCTTTTACTCTCGGTCGTACATGAACAGAATTGTCACTGATAGTGAGACCCTCCAACTCATTGGGACTCCGTCACGCAAATAATGGAGCTTTCACTGACAAATACGTTTCGTCGCCCTCCCGGCATAAGGACGTAAATACACTTCGAGATGAACCCTATCGTCCACGTAACTCAATGGTTTCCCGGGCTCAACTCCAAGTGTAGTTACGCCCTTTTGTCAGCCAAGCGAGGATTTATGCCCAGCACATTTCATTGAAATTTTAATTAATTCCCTATTTTGCCTCTGATTTCAGGTACCTCACTTGATCTAAGGATTGACACCGTGGCAGGATGCTGAAGTGGCTGGTCGCGCACAGCCTACACAAGCTCCCTCGTGGATGAGTGGTTTTTTAATTGTTCAATTCGTTCCACATGCTCAGTTTGCCATTAACGTCATTCGCAGGTGCGTATTTGAAAACTAATATTTTATTGATGCTGAGATAGCTTTAACCAATTTTCAAGAATCGTTCAAGTAGGTAATATTAGTGCATGTAAATAAACACCCAATAATTGAGTTATCGATACCAATGAGAACCTAGACTATTCTGCCGCACTGGAAAAAAAAAAAACACGTTGGATCTAGAGTCCACACTCTTGAAAACATTGACAAGAAAAAATACTCTTGATTCAATCGGATTTTTGCTTGAATCAAAACGAAATCCGCTTAAATCAAGAGGCTTGGTTCTTGATTTAAGCTAGATTCTGATTGAATCAAGAGTACTTTTTCTTGTGAATGTTTTTAAGAGTCTGGACTATAGATCCAATGTATTTTTTTTCCAGTGCGTGCTAAGGGAGAACGACGTGTGAACATTCGAGAGTTGCCAAAATCCTCCGCATAAAACACGTTTTTTTGAGAAAATTTATTCATATTTCTACTTGAAATTTTCAGATATTTTAGATAAAAGTGCGAAGAAAATGTTCTGAAAAATTCGATGAAAAATATTCATAATTTTCAACGAAAATTCTGGTTTTATTGAATTCGTCAGGCGCTTCCGGCTCAACGCACCCTCCATCTTACTTCAGGGGGATAGCGTTTTTCAGTAAATTCTTGAAGCCTAAAGTAATTTCTGCCGTTATTTAGTGTTTATATTTTGTAAGCCAATATGGCATCTTGAAAAATTATACTGTTGCTGAATAAAAAAATAAATAAAAAAACTTCGAGTCCCGTGCACGAGGTTTTTTCTCTGTCTGGGAGGTATTCCGCTTCTGATTTAAGTGAAAAAATGTGCTTCCTAACTCGTGATACCACTCTACTCTTCCCAGACCGTTAGTCAGTGGGTCAGTTCTGCCGCGCTAAGGATAAACGCTGAATGGACGTTCAAGAGTTGTCAAATTTCTCCGAATAAAACATTTATTTTACCAAGAGGAAAGTCATGCTTATTTTTCTTCAAAATTGTCAGATATTTAAGATTAAATTTCGGGCAAAATTGTCTAAACATTTTGAGGATCATTATAGAAATAAGTAATTATCCACTTATTATTTTTATATACCCTTATGCACATACATTAAGATAATTGTATATATTTCCTCCTACGAAGGTTACAATAAATATACTCTTTAAACAAAAAAAACAAAAAAATTTGAAGAAAAATGTCAACCATTTTTCCGGTAAATTCGTTATTTATCAAAGCAAATATGGGAACCTCTGGAGGCTCATACAGCGATCCTCCTTAGCACGGCAGGGTTGCGCTGTTTCTGTGTGCTGACAATTTCAGATTATGGATTCTTGCCACTGAAACGAGTATTTTGGCCAGTTGTGCGTCAGACGAGGCAGCCTTTGTGGCCTTTGGAGGAGTTACGATGGTTTGATTTGATTTGTGCCCCTTGGTTTCAGACGGGAGCGGTGATTTACGAATGGGTGAGGCGGCGGGATGCTGAAGTGGCTGGCCCGCCCAAGGACGCCTCCAGATCTCGTCACAGATGACCCATTGGCCACAATAGCTCCCGATGCCCAGCCTCACGTTTACGCCGTCAGCAGGTAACACTCGATCCTCTCTTACTCCTACACTTTTCTTTTTTGCAGAAATTTGGGTTGAAAATTTGGGGTCGAACCCCTCGGCCGCTACGCCGCCCAACCCTCGGAGGGTGTTCTGCATACACTTGAGTACTTGAGGGAATTAATCCAAATAGGGCTGGCTCATGTCCTCACCTTCCAGCCAAAGTATATCACAAGCGCCATGTGAATTTTCGCCGCGAGAAATTGTTTTAAATTCTGTCAGAAAGTTCAATTTTCAAACAAAATTTTCAAATAGATTTAACCAACAATTACTCTGTAAAAAAATAACATGGTAGTGGAAATATTTAAACGTCTCATGGTGCTTGTGATATTTGGTCGAAAGGTGACGAAGCAGGAACTATCGATAGTCTCAATTTTATAAAAATCATCTCGGTGGATTTTCAAAATGAACTGCGACGAAAAATGAAAATCTGCATTGTTCAGATGAGAGAACTTCAAACTTTATCACGTAAATATTAAAAAAAAAAAAAAAAAAAAAAAAAAAAAAAAAAAAAAAAAAAAAAAAAAAAAATACATGGGTCGTATTGTCGTTTCTCGGGCAAAGGAATGTAACTCAATTGCAAGGTTGCAAAATTGACTAAAACTAATTTTTTACAAGGATGTACATGTGAACATTTTTCCCAAGACTTCTGTGATTTTTGCATGAGATCAAAAAAAGAAATCAGTGAAATTTTCAGGCAAAAGTGCGCAAGATTCTCTCCTTATGAGTTCAGTACAAGAGAAGAAATTTGGCAACATTGATATGTAGATAGGTTTCTTTGCAAGGGAAGTGACGATATTTCCAAAATCAGGAAAGAGCTGGCTCATTCAGGGACTATTACCTGTCGATAACCACAAAAATCGTGGAAATCGGTCCAGTGGAATGGTAGAATGACGTGTAACAAAAATGAAAATTTAAGGGGTCAGAGAGCTCCTGGTAATGATGCAAAATACAAGAACAATAACCGCATACTAGGATTTTAAAAAAAAATACCTGACTGACAAAAATACATACTTTGTTACCATCTGCAAGAGTGCAGATATACATCTCTGACATCTTCGCACTCTTTCTGTCGGATGGTCACATCTTTCGACTCTGTGACTTGCATTCCTATAGACAATATGAGAATATGAGATGATGTGTCTACGCCGGGCAGCTTTCATATTCTTCAATATTGATCAGTGATAGCAGCTGATTCATTCCCACTCATTCTAGCCAATATCTCAATCATTCTAGTTATCAGCGCTCCCCCATCTATAAATCTAATTAGTAGCCTGACAGCCATCGGCTACAGATTTTATTTTTAACGCATTACCAGCGGGGATGCCAACTGTCACTTCATCGCAGAATTTCTTCTTGCTGAAACAACGTCCAAGTAAAAGACAATTTTTTTAAAAATCATTACGTTTGAGATTATAGTTACTTTGAACTATCTAATATACGGAATGAATCAAAATCAGCCTGATTTCATTTCATATATCCTATTATCCTCTCGTTTAACTTTGTTGATAAAAAAAAATTACAAAAAAATAATGTCTTTGAACTAACCGTGTACATCTTCCTTAGATCTAAAAAAAAATTCTTACTTAATTCAAAGTCAGAATTTTGTTTTGTTTTCCGTTAAAAAATTCAACCTCAGAGGAGTTTGGGAAACGTCTGATATAGTTAGGCTGATTCTGATCACATCGAAAAAAAGGATTCTGATTTAACATTCTGCATGTAAACAAGTGTGCGACATCTCACAAAACGCTGAGTTAACCGCCACAGTAGTTGACTTTACATCTTAACAATGCTATAGTAACTGCTGTGGCGGTTGACTCAACGTTTTGTGAATTGTTGCATACTTGTTTACATCCAGAATGTTAAGTCAGCAACCTTTTTTTTCGGTGTGTATTATTCCAAATTATTAGCAGACGGGAAGGCCATCCATGAAACTCTTGACGATAAAACACACAAACACAGCCCGAATATGTGCTGTTCAGTGTTTTTAATGTTTTAGCCTTGTTTACCCATGTTTTAACTCCATCCTTATTTATGGAAACTCTTAATTTTGCACTCATTTTTTCTCTTTTTTGAACTTAGAGAAGTTCGGAGTTCCTTCACTATCACGATACGGCCAAAATGAGCCCTGAACAACACTGGAAAAAAACACATTTGATCTAGAGTCCAGACTCTTGAAAACATTGACAAGAAAAAGGACTCTTGATTCAATCAGATCTAACCCTAAGTCAAAAGGAAATCCGCTCAAATTAAGAGGCTTGGTTCTTGATTTCAGCTTAAATCTGATTGAATCAAGAGTATTTTTTCTTGTCGATGTTTTTAAGAGTCTAGACTGTAGATCCAATGTGTGTGTTTTTCTCCAGTCAAGAGCTCTTCTTCTGACTGGAACATGCTGAGAACATACATTGTTGATCGCCTTCTTTCATATCTTCCCATCATTTTTAATAATGTAGGAACACTTGTTCAAAAACGGAAAGTAGTAGCAGACATTTTGAAACATCGTGTAACCGAAACTTATCTTCTCGTAGTACTATATCACGTTGTCTGTTTTACATGAATAAAATAGTTTTCAGTAACAGTCAGGCGGCGAATTAGATTTAGCTTGTCTTTTTCCTTAGTTTGATCCAAATGGAATCCGAGCTGTGAAGAAATAATTATCGACCATGCAATCCCACTCCCAATCTCTTGGACAATCCGTAATCATACCCAGCTAATTTGTAAAATTAATGAGTGACACATCAAAAATCGATCTAACTTTCCTTGTGTAGTGTCTCCTTGTTGACGGAATAAGGATGGTTTTTTTATAATAAAGCCTTATGAAGATACAGCAAGTTGTGCCTGATTTGCGGCATGATCAGATGACCCAGGCAGGAAAGTACAACTCACAACTTTGTAGTGTCACCTGGGATTAGCCAGGGTGTTGCGATACCTAAGTAATTAGTGAATCAATGACAAAAATGAGCATGTGGGAGATTGAGAAACGAATGCCCCGAATTATGAATTCATGAATTCATTAATTCTTAGGCAAATATATAATACTCAATCATAGAGACACATTTAATTTCATTGGAAGTAACATTATAAACGTCACGAGTGTATTTGCATTGACCGAGAAAAAAAGTGCATACATGCTTAATTGGCGCGAAAATGTTTAGACTGGACTCTCATTATTAGCAATTTATCAGCGTATTTGTCTAAGTAACACTAATTTCGATGGTTAGTCTAATGATTAAATACACTCATGCAATCGTGAAATGTTATCATGACAATTGTAGACCTTTTTACACAAAGAACAGATTATATTCACAGGTGATCAGTTCTTTTAATCCGTTGAAATATTAATCAATTCTCCGTTTGAACTATCTGGAAGGTTAAATATTACGAAATTAAGGTTTAAATTTCATCGGAAAATTTGAAAAAAAAATCCAAGGAGAAATATCGACCCCAATTTTGGAAACAGTTCATTTTTCCAACAAATTCTCAGCAATTTTAAAACAAAAGTTTTTGTACAGAAATTCACCAAACAGGCTCTTTCATCAGAAATTGAAGAAGCTCATATTTGAGCTGTGCAAAAAAGAATATTGAGTCCTTGGCTATAAGCTTTTTTAAATTAGTTTTATGATATAACCTAACATATAATTGGTACACACACTGTTTAAATTGCGGTGACAATTCTGACAAAACCAAACCCCCGCAATTATCGCCACTCCAGAACTCATACAAGACTGACGCAGAAACGGTTAAATTTCTAAGTTTAGAGACGTCATGCGCAAAATTCGATAAATTATTACCAGGAAGCCATTCTCAACGCCAACTCAGTTCCTGAACGAACACCTAATTTCAAAGTTTGAATATTCCTCATACAATGTTTACTTGTGCTTGGACGGCACTCGAGGCTCGACGAGTCAAAGAGTCAACACTCGGCAATTCGGTCCGAGATAAGAGCACTCAGCGCTATACGACAGTTGCAGCTTCTTATAGAGATCTCAAAACCATCAAGCTCAGAAGCTCGGAAGCTTTGGCATTGTTGCAATGCAGTGCAAAATAATACCAAATTTCATTTTAAAGAGTCTCATTATAAAACTTCACTGGAAAAAAAGCACATTGAATCTAGAGTCAAGACTCTTAAAAACATCGACAAGAAAAAATACTCTTGACTCAATCGGATTTTTGCTAAATCAAGAACCAAGCTTCTCAATTCGAGCGGATTTCTTTTTGATTTGAGCAAAAATCTGATTGAATCAAGAGTAATTTTTCTTGTCAATGTTTTCAAGAGTCTGGACTCTAGATCCAATGTGATTTTTTTTCCCAGTGTTTGATATTCGTTAGAGAAAAAGTCGACCCGAGTTATAATAATTAGTTGGCATTATCCGGAAGTAATTTGAAGTGCCATTTTTACATTCAGACTTTTATAGAATTTTTTTTCATTATTGTTCAGTTCCAATCAAACGTATTCAATGAAACACTGGGTACAAAAACACACCAACTCGGTAACTCGAAAATGCTCAATTTTAATTAAAGACAGTTAATTTTTAAGAAGGTCATTGAAGTTAGCGCATCTGTTCTAACTTGGACCTTAAAGTATCTTTAAGTAAGTGCCTTTCTGCACCAAAACTCTTTTTTCTAGACTAACTTCTGCACCTACTGTGCACTTTCGTATGTGTCTTGATTATATTCATTTTTTTTTTTTTTTTGAGTTGGTGTGTTTCCGTTCTCATTGATTCAAATGTAAGCGCGTTTCTAATTTATTTATTTGCACAAGGTTCTACATAAACACGTCCAATTGAGAAACAAAATCTTGATTAGAAATTGTGAAGTATGTGCTTAATGTATTTGTCTAGGCTTTGACTTCCAAAAGTAACTTTTAAGTACAATGTAATGAAGCTAGAAATGCAGGGTCTCTAAAATATTTTATCGCTGGTCATTATTAGAGTATTTATTCGGGGATAGTTTAGGTAATAGTCGAAATATTGAGCTGTCA